TACGGTGTGCGAAGGAGTGGAGTAATCTACTTAATTATTCTTCAATGTAGATCATGCTAGATTTTCAAGTTTTTAATATATAAATGTGCATTACTACGCTCAATAATCATTACTTTTAGTACAGGCCTTGCAAAGACATTGAAATTAAATACTCTCTCTAAATTGATAACTTCCTTATTAATATATTTCATCTATCCGTCACCTTTTCCATCATGCTTTCAGATGTCATCTTTGCTCTCATATCTTCCTTTTCAATTTTCCGATTTCACATCATCATTCTTTCTATTTCCTTATTCTCTTATCATCATTTCCTATTTTATCCTATCCGATTTTTGCTAGCTTCCATTTTTCTAATGACGTTTTATATATTTTTAGCTGTGCTTCTACTTATTTTGGCTTTCCTCGTCTCTTGGTTATTTATTCTTCATTTCAGTCATTCGCCTGCCTCCTCAACACCTGCATACTCCGGCGACATCTCATGGTATGGAAAATATTTGCGCCTCGCCTTCTCTTCTCGTTGGTCAGCCTATTTGTCACCATAGCTGCCGTCTGCTTCAGCCGTTTGCTCGTCGTTCGTTGTTTGATCTCTAGCCTTGTGGCTCTGCGATTTCAGTTTCGCCCCACTTCTCCGGCATGACCGCTTTTTTACAGGATCTTATAATCTAAACGTATATAATAGCAAATACAACTGGATATTACATCATTCTACCCATTTGTGTAAACATATTTCCATCTTTTTACCAAACAGTATATATTTATATATTCGTCCGTACATATTTTTCTATTACGTTATTCATTAATTGTGCGACCCGTCTCCTTTCAGCTCTTTCCTCCTGCGATTGAGCTAATAAACAGCTTAATATATGTATTGATGCACAGGTTACTTGCAAGTTGTTATTTTCCCGATCCCTCTTATGCAATTTACATTACTTCTCCACTTTAATGTTTTGCATTGTGTTTACATTTATGTACATACAATTTTTCAGTTCCTCAACCTACTTGCATCCTCCGTTATTTTGTTGGTTATTTGTGATCAACCTCTGAGTTATTTTAAATACTTCCACGTATTTTGTAACAGTTTGCTATTTCAAAGTCATCTTAGATGCACGAAATCTCGTAAACCTTGCGATACTTTATTTAGCAAACCCATTATTTTAGGCGAAAAGACTAGTTAACACCATCTTGTGTTATTTACAAGCTAGATATAAAGAGGAAATGGATTCTGACTGAAGCGAAACGTCTTAGAATGCACCAAATCAACGGTCTGATACTTAAATTCATCATGAATTATATCGCAGATGACGCGGAGGACGCATAACTAAGTTTATTTTTTTTAGAAGTTGTTTAATCGAAGGTATAAAGACCAAGATGGTGTGGCAATGGGTCACATTTTCATATGAATCTATAAGACGTATTCACCCT